AAAATATTACATCAAATCTATTCTCTAGTTGTTTTAAAGTTGCCTAAGGGTAAAAATTTAAAACGCCCATAATTTATAAATCTAGAGATGAAGTATTTTGCCAGCATGCTAGCAATCATCTTCGAGTAAATGTACAAAAGAGAAAAAAGAGTTTCAATTTTAGTACAATATATTTTCAATGTCTTATTCGAATTTTGATTAAAACCACTTTTTAAAAATTATGTACACACCATTATGAGTCGGATAAAAATAACAATGGTGAAAGTGGGATGATATAGATTTACTGTACCTTATGAATTCTCATCGGTTACTTATAAGTTTAATAAGTTTAACACTTGTTTTTTTGTTTATGAGTTGAATTGAATTTCTTGCGAACGAATACTTTTTGCAATACTTTTATTCCAATAAAACTAATTTCCCTTAACCTAAGTAATAATAACCACTTGTATAAACAGTCACTAAATTTTGTCGATGGGTTATACAGTATTCCGTGATATTAAGCCATGGGGAACAACAACAGCACATAACTGAGAAAGTATTGTTGAGAAAATCTGTTATTTATTGCACATCCAACCAATGAAAGCTATAAATAAGAACAAAGCTCAATAGCTGACCTACATAACCAAATGATGTTTTAACTTGATCGAATAATATTTACTCCAAAATAACTTGCAGAAAACATTAAATCTAAACTTTTTATAATATCTACTTAGGCATAATGACATATCTGTTTACCGAAAACAGTGTATCTCAGTCATTTCAAACTGTCATATTCAGCTGTTCATTGACTCAGTTTGGAAATCTACCTTATGGAAATATTTAACAATTGCTTGAAACTCATCAGCCAGTTACAAGCACATTTTGTCACTTGACAGAGTTTAAAAATACAATGTTAGTGAATTATTCCTCCGTTGACTTCTAGTCTTAAGCCATTGTTAAAGTTAATAAGTTTTGGTGATGCTGTTGCAAACCTATGTACTATAAGTTATCTTTTCCTAAAGCCGTTCCGACCAAAATGAAAGTAGAAGTTTCGTATAGAATTTACAGCACAAGTGGGTCCTTCTATAGATGACCACCAGCTGTAATACATCTAAAATCAGTTTTCCAACTTAAATATTTTAGGAAAATATCTACTCCAACCCAGAAAAAATGAATGCTCATGAATAGATTTTAGTTTAGATAACACAGAGGAAAAGAAATCAAATTGAATGAAATAGGATTCATAGGTTACCTGATTTCTCATTTGGTATCTTATGAGATAAATAAAACTAAAATCAAGTAAATAACTTCTGTCAACAGAACTAATAATCTCTTATCACAGCACAAATTTACACTTCTATTGTAAGAGCTAAATTAGGTTAGACTGATGTATGAAAATTCTGTGTTATAAAGAGGTATTGTGCTAATATTTAGGAATAGTAAGACTGAAAACTGTAAGCTTTACACCTATCATGTGTACCATATTGGATAAAGCGTATTTGCCAATTTTATTTGATAAGGTATATTAGAATTCTGAAACTGACTTCGAATGAAGTCACAAGTATTATAAGAAAAGATGGATAGTGTCTAGTAGTGGAATCTAGGACGCGAGTTTCGCTCTGTTTGGGACTCATCAGTTGGATGTAACTTCTATCTGGACTCAGTAGCTAAGTGGATGATGGGATGACATCTGGAGCGAACCGTACTTGATTTGAGTGACCGAGTGAACATCAACTCTAAGATGCAGGTACATCCATCTGACTAGTCCAAAAATAGAATGGAACTCGTGTCCTTTATTCCACTGTTAGTCATCATCCATCTCTGCTTGTAGTGAAATAATTTCACTTAAACTCCATAAATTTCACTTAAGATATTATTTTTCTTTGTTTTCTGGTGCATGTATTTAGCAAAACTTGAAACCGTCTTAACAGCTTAAAAACTCTATGATTGGCTAAAATAGATTAGACAACCAATCACACATTTTCAAAATTCATATATAGTCTAATTTAAAAATATAAATATATGCGTATCGTCATAACAACTGACCGCATTTTTCGGAAAACTATAGTCTAACTAATTTTTTCAAATAATCTAAGCTGTAAGTTGTCTTTTAGTTACTATTTTATGGTTTTTAAAATTCCTATACAAGTGGGAGTTTAAAGTCTTTTAAAATATTGTAAATCACTACTCATTTTGATCAAGTGTAGTTGGAAATTAGTTTTCTTGATAAAAACCTCCTTGTTGATAAATAACCAGATTTGATCTGTGAAGTACTTAAGTAGTGGAGTTTGAAAGAGCATACTTGAATATTTTACAATACACACTTCACATCTTGCACACAAGCACTAAATTATTGATATTATTATTGATATTATACAAGTGAATTCTATGCAAGACTACGGACTATTTCATGTGTAAAGTTCATCGATACTTTTGATTTTTCATTATTTCACTGAAGTAGATACAGCTAGACTACCTGGTGGAACGTTAGAGTTATCTTAAATTTCAATTGTTACGGTCTTTCTAAACACTGACTTCCATTTTTTCATCATACTATATTACCAGCATCAACTATTGTGGAAATATTCGTTCAAATACACATATAAGCGTGTATACGATGCTTTTTACTTAAATACTTAAACATTGAGGAAACCTATTGTTTGGATGAATAAAAGTAAAGAGAATTGAGCGCAGAAAATTTTTTGGACAAAATAATTTACTAAAGCTGTACGTTCATACTAATAATTGTTAGTCTGTAGTAGAATAAAATTAGACTATATATAATGGTCCGAAACTTCATATATCAAAAGTAGGTTGCAGAATAATCGAGAGGTTAGAGAAGAATGGAAGGATGAAAATAATTTATGGGTGGGAAATAAGACAGATAATTGTCCACTTAACTTGTATGAAGATGTCAAAGTAATAACTGAACAGTTATCATGAAAAACTGTTAGAGGATAATATTGACTGATTACTGTTTAAAAATCCTCTTTGTATGATCCAACTTACTCATAATATCAAATAAAATATTCATAGTTTAATAGTTGAATTCACGAGTCAATCTATGCTAGACCACCATTGAAAACCTGGAAATACTGTACGATTATTTCATCCGAGTATGGGACTCCTCAGCCGTCCAGTGCTTCCAGGTTTTTAATGGTATTCTAGCTTAAATCGACTAATTGTTATTATTAGCTTTATTCAATATTATATTTTTGGTACAATATAGAATTCTCAGCACAGAGTATTTTGACAAGTTTCCGTTTCCTAATTCTTTTTCGATGCTGATGATAAACATTGAGTGATCGCCAGTTAGAAGTTAGCAGTCCAGTCAATCGACATCTAAATAATGTACATTCTTTTCACTGCATATTGTCAGCAACCACTATATCCTTGATTGGGCCTTTTCTAACTAGTACAACGAAGGGTTGTAAAGTTTTCAGAAACACATTTGAACAGGTTATGCGATTAATAACCATAATGATGTACAAAAAACAAATGATATTAGATAACTCGTTAAAATATCTACATACCGGAAACATGTAACTCAGATGTTCAAGCACGCCACCAGTTTCATGGATTCAACTAATAAATTACTACAATCTTCACCAACCTCCATTCTGATAATATTCATTGTTTATTTATCCACTTTGCTTGAAATAGGCTGACCTAAAACAAATAAGTCATAAAGTAAAGTAAATACAAAATATAAAATGCAACTCAGTGTAGTAACAAACTTGAATGGTTCAAGTCATGAATAATTTTGAAAATTGATCACCCAGGTTCCATGACTACACTTTTTCACTAACCATATCTGTTAAGATGAAATTGTGAAATTTCCTATCATACTGTACATGTATGTATATCATTTACTTTTCAAGTTTGAATATGTGTGATCATCATTATTATTAGAATATAGATGACTACTGTTTTATTGCATATAAATAAAATTAATGCTCTAGCATAAAGATAAATAGTCTAAAACTTTAAACTTTTAATAAAGTTTAATTCTGGTAATAAAAAGCTAACTGAAATTGAAATTTATTACTAACCATTTTGTAAGTAATAAAAAGGACAGAATTAAGATAAACTTTCATTCTTTAAACCAGTCTTATTATTATTGCTTTCTATCAGTCTGAAATATTCATATTTTACTTATGAATTGATTCTAGTGCTCATACTGTTGACATTAGTTTGTTTTCTGTATATATTAAAATAAGCATAACTAAATAAGTGGTTTTGCTAACTGATATTTGAGTTCTATTAGAGAATAGATTAGTCTTTATGAACTACATAATGTGAAGAGTTATAATAATAATAATAACTGACTTTATTGTAAGTGATAATAGCTTATAAGCGTTGATAAACGTCAAAAGTATATTTCATTTCTTCACATATATATTCATCTCATTCATTTTTCGATTAATGTAAGTTGTAAACAGAAACATTCATAGCTGTAAATATCATGTATAATTACTAGTTGATCTCTTCATAACTCAACTTTTGTTTAACACTTCGAGTTGAATAGTCTAATTATCCAGTATGATATTAGCCATCGAAAATTCTAAAATATCCCATTTTGATGTTCTCTCTTATACATTATGTTTTTATTCTCGTGAATAATGACAGTTTGCTACAAATGCTTTTTATTTTAAATTAGCACTGATTTATTTGAGACATTCTTTACAAACCATAATATCTGATGAGAAATATATCCAAATTGTCACTTTATTACTGGGATACAACTCGTTTTTGGTTCTACATTTAAATAACTGTCACTCTGACTCCATGTTAAAGTAACTAGATATTTTAAAAAACTGATAGCCTTTAAGGTTTGTTAACCCTCTGATGAGTAACCTTAGAAGTACCGTTACAGAATTCTTTATCAGTCTATAAGAGAGTAAGTGATATTAAGATCTAGTTACATTTCACTTCTAATTAATTAAAATACAATGTATAAATAGTTCTTCTGTGTAACACTATATAGTTATTCTATTACCCTGATTCACTTTATTGTCTAGATGTCAACAAAACTTTTACTCTGGATAACAATCACTTTGTATGTTTTCACTTGGCAGACAATCGAAGCAATTAAAACTAAGTCAAATGAAATTTGTTCCACATCTCAAATCAGTAGAATCCGCTACTCTATAGAAACTATGGAGAATATATTAAGTCAGTGTGAGGATGCTGCATTTGCTGGCGCGTACGCTAAACGTGGTCCAGAACCATTATGGGTAGTAGAAACTAAATGAATAACCTTTAATGCTTGATGAGCAAATAACTTTAAAATGTATTGTTCAATTTCAATTATTTTATTCATCTGAGACTAAATCAATTTTTATGTGAATCATTTTACTTAACAGAATAAAAACAAACGTTCCTGTTTGAACCCAAAGACTAAGTCTTGTGTCCAGTTTATTTATTTCTATTAATTACGATCATTTATATTAACCTGTGAAACAGGGTAGTGAAGCTACAGTGAGATAAAGTTTAGTTTTTGATCTCTGTCGGTGAAGTTATGAATACCTCTAACACTTCACAGGACGAATAATGTCTCGTTTCCCCCACGTTTTGATAACAATAATGAAATATATTTTACATACGCGAGAATCGATAGTTATAGGATAGATTCGTGATTTACTGGAAGCAGTAACCGTTGCAGATATTGGTGATACAGGATGATTCATCATTTTTTTACTACCAGTAACTAAACAATTTATTAATCATTTAATGTTTAACTAAGGAGATAGGACGTCAATAAGACAAAAAATGTCTACATGAACGACAATAATATTTATAAGACGGACGGTAAATGACACTTATTTGATACCGATTCTTATTTGAATTCCTTATAAGACGAACAGCCAAATTACATACTGATGACCATCAGATGGCTTTGGGTCCATTTTTATTCTATGTCAAAAGTAATTAAAGTTTAATTGAATAACATAAATTCATCTTATTTAGGGCGTTGTAGTTGAAGCTTCTTAAATCCTGTAATTTTCGAATGTCAAATTTTAAACGCTATTTAGCATGCTTTTGTGGCGATATTAGTCAACACTTAAAAAGAAATGCACCTGAGTACCCTAGTAATGAATCATAAGGAGAATGGTATTAATTTAATAGGATGAGATGCCGCAGTTAAGCACCAGTTAACGAAGCTACTAAATGTCTTTCAAAATAAAATGTTCTCAATCAATAAAATTCTACGGTTCTGCAGGAATATAATTATTATAATACCTGGAGTTCCAGGAAGTCCGGCTACGCTCTCCCGGTATCATACTAATATAATATGCAGTTTTCAAAGAATAAACGTAGACTTTATAGTGCTGAAAACGCTTTACTCCTGTTGCAGTGAAATATGATTCAAGTCACTGAATTAATTCTCAAGATACTCTTGATAAATACAAACATCTATTTTGCTGTCTATGACAATGATCTAAAATCATCATGAACACAAACTTTAAGCTAAATGAAATTTTAAGAGGATTGTAAGTATCAGAACTGATTAGGATCTTATTAAGAATAACCACTAGCATCTACCAGGTGAAATGAACATTTAATACATTTTTTGATACTGCTTTCTAGAAATGTTTTAGGGCAATAACAAAATCGAATTTTTTTCTTTTTATCGAAGATTGGATTGTTAAATCGATTCATAGAAGTGGCAAATCTTAACCAGGACCCTAAATTGTATGAGTGACGAAATATGTACTTTTATAACGGTAAGTACATAGGGGGGTATAAACTCTCTGAAAATTTCTGAATTATTGCTTCATTTTTGTCACTGTTTTGTTCTTCTCATTCTTTGTACGCTGTGCAAGATGTTTCACTAATCAAGTTTATTTCAGATTTTACTGTCGTTAATACTTATATCTAAGAATTATCAGAAGGTTTAAGGCAACTCGTACCATCTAATATAATTTAGATTACGTAGTCAATTATGAAATTTCTAAAGTATTTTTCAGTTGGATAAAGAAAGCTTAATTTTTCGATTGTTTTAGTGACATCTGAATTCTAACAAAGTACAACATTATGGTGCCACTCTACTTAGTAATTGCATGTTATATTTTGATTGGTACCCCTCAATCTTCATTGAGGAATACTGAACAATCTTAACTAACCATAAAAGAAAAAACTATTTCAAATAAATATTACTGCAAGGAATATAAATGCAAGTACAGAATGACTTAAAGGAACTTTTGCAATATTCAAGATCTCCTTTTCATACTTTTGTCTTTTTTCAAAAATGGTCCATAATTTTAACACCGAGAAAGAATGTTTTCCATGTAACATGATCATTCGTCAAGTTAAAACCTGACTGATACCCACAAATTTCTTCACTTGTCTTGACAGTTTCATTGTCTTCTAAACCCCACTTTCCATGAATGCTTTATCGACTATTATTTGAATTCCTACTTCAGTACTTCTCTGGAATCAATTAATTTAAGTGTGTAATTGTTGTGATAGGGTGGAATAGCTAATTCGTTTTCAACCTCTTAATAATGAAATATATGTGATACTTATCTAATGGTTCAAAATCAAACCGATTGGAACAAAAAGTGTAGTTACTGAACCATTCAGACACACCCTGATGTTCAAAGAATAACATTAAAGAAACTTCAAAGATACTTAATTTAATGTTAATTAGATTTTCTCATATTTTTATCTTTATGAAGTCTATTCACTTCAGTCAGAATTAACATTAGATGATAGAAATGCGTTTGAAAAAAACGTTTGTCAAACTCAATAAAATGATCAAATTTCATTGAAAATAGACAATAGTGATAATTTATTTATACTGCTATAATGTTTTTAATAATTTGCTCACATGATGAAACACTTAAAGCTGAACTGATACACCTTATCACAATCCTTATGATTTATTCAGTATATAATAAGCAAAACTACAGTGGGGAGATGCCTTGATCTCTATTAAATACTTCATCTTTATTTGTGAGCAGTAAATGGGCCTTTGATTCTCGTTCAAATACTAATCTGTGTGAAGCTGAACATTGGGATCTTCACCAATGTACTATCTCTTTTCAAAACCCTTACCTAATCCAATAATCTTCAATCTATCAAGACAAACGAGTGATTCACTTAGTCACATGCTTTCATAACTTAACAGACTGAACGCGTAATATTTCTACAGAAATTAAATATATTCGGGCTCTGGTTCGACTTTGTCAACTAGATGGTTTTCTAAGTAAATGTTAATCCAAAACCATTGTATTATTTATTTCGATTCACCACAACTTGAAAACAAACAAACTGGAAACATTTACATTTCAAGTGACAGTATCCAAAATCCAGACTGAATAGTCTTTCACTAAAGGTATTGTGTGATGTACTGTGGGTCATACTTGTTTTCACATTATACTTTGTAAAGGTTGATACTAATCACTGATATCAGGGTCGTATCAAATAATTCCTTCTATTCTTATATGTTGGATATAATTCTTTCTTCTACTAATTACTCCCACGGTGTTTCACTTATTGAATTTTTGTGAATGTCTACCACTTTTTATAGTCTCTAGAAATTGAATATAGTTTCAAATAGATAAGAAGGACATGAGGGATTTACTTAGAATTCCTGACAAAAAACCAAATTTTAAACCTTTTATCTAAAGGTCCTACGCATCGGACTTCATTCCTAGCAGGCATATTCAGAAATGCGAGAGTTAGAGAAGACATTCGACGTTTAAACATGATTGGTAGGTACAAAGTCACCCCCTAAGGAAGTTGGAATCCCTCAATTCCGAAAACTGGTCGCGTAGATAAGTTGAGAATAATAAAGGAAAACATTATCCTTAAATCAGCTTCAGCCAGCGGTCATCTCTCAAATCTTTATTCTGACGTTTATCTAATGTCTTGTGGATTAGACTTGTAAGTCTGAGGTTCATAAAGTGATCTCCAAAAATAACTAACAGTTTGATGTAATTCATGACAACATTCACGATTTATAAAAATTATGATTTACTTTTTGGTGGCAAATTTTTTTAGAAAATCCTATTGTATTAATATTTTTGTTTCCTTATGGTCTTTATTCATCGCTACCTTGATTTTGACATTCAATACGATAGTTTTGTTATACTTTGACCGAAATGAACGAAGATCCCTACCGCTATCATTTCAAGCTTATTAACCTGTGAAGTAAGCTAAAATAAACGACTTAAGGACTAAATTATCAGTAATACATAGATAAGTGCAACACCAAAAGTCTTGGAGAAACTACCTCTTCACTCAAAAGTCCGGAAATGATTCATAGGGCGACATGGTGTCATAAATTTTTAGTATGACATTCCACATTAGTAACCAATAAATATCTGATCAAATTTATGTTAGAATTTTTTGGAGATTATGTAGAATTGATATAGGCCATCAAGCAAAGCGGAATTCATCTATTTGAGTATTTCATTCAAAGAAATTCCATAATTTCTTTGGGTGCTTTCTTCGGGATGTCATCTGGACTAAACTTATGCAATATATTTTGTATCACCGTATTATTTTAATTTACCACCTGTCTAATTGTAGTAAGTAGTCGACTACATTTTAAATGTGATTACTAGCAACTGAAAACAAACAGCATACTTTAAATTGTTAGTGTGTTATTTTTTTTGTCTTGTTAGTGACACTAAATCAAAACGACCGACACGAATTGCGTTGTTCATTGGGTTTATTATCTCAATCAGTAAAATTGAAACTAATAGTAACTGAGTTTTTAGAATCATCCAACTGAATTGATTTCTCAAATTGTTAATCCCGATTTCCTTATAAAAATAAGTAGGAAAAATACCAAATGAAAACAAGTCAATAAATTTGCTGTGATTTTTACAGATGATGACATTTATAAATGTAATTTAATAAACGAGACTAGTAATCTGTTCCGTATTTCTTCAACTAAGGGATTGAAAAATCGAATTTCGAGACAGCTTTATTTACTCGTTTAGAAAAACTTCATTCCCATTGATCAATCTCCTTTCTTTGATAATAACTAAATACCTCTACTTATTATACCCATATTCTCTGTCACTGTACCGTATTCCATAACCGTGATTATTTCTAGTGAACACTACCTAATTCCAACTGTCAAGAGAACCGGAAATTTGATTCTTCTGGCCACTGTTTGTCAATATATATATATATATATATATATATATATATATCCCTAACCTCTGATGTGACACGAATGTCCTCCTAACTTCAAATTGATCTTAGAAACAGAATAAATTTGAATAACCATTTAATTTTGGAAAGTCGTATATTATTTGCTCCTACCGTTTTAATTGCTATTTGATCCAAATAAATGTCCATTGATTTAACTAAATTTTTGTATTCATTTTGATTATTAGTTTAATACTTCACTTCCTAACAAATTGGTTAAAGGTA